TTGACCCCCTAAACTCAATTAGCCCCCACCCCCCCTAAAATTTTGGCTGGATCCGCCCTTGAGAACATTATATGTGCTTCCACTATGCGCAAGCTAAAACATATAAGCACACGAATAACTCACAAGTATTAGGATCAACAATGTCTAGATCTGATCTTTGCGCTTTGCATTCTATTATGGCTTGCGCAAAGTGGAAACGATTCTTTGTTTTTCGTGAAGAGTAATTTGGCCAAATGGGACAGAGAACGAGATGCACACAGGCCTTTCTCCGGGTTCTCCGGTTTTCGTCCGGCTCCGCCTAAGTTCCAATAGTTTACTGCAATGTGAGTTAGTCATTCCAGACTAATATCAGCCAAGAGGTAGCATCGGCCGGGCTGCTATAATATTTGTGTTTATACGCCTGCAAATAAAAACTAATCGAAGATTTACTTACGCAGGACTGTCGCACTGTCGTAAAGAAAACTGTATTCCTCCTCCACAGGTGCGGGTGCAAAAACCAAAATCGCTCCACTGACCCCACTGACCATCAACGGACTGTAAACGACGCTGTTTGACGCAGACACCTCTGATACACCACTAGAGCCAAGATCATTAATTATAATACGTAATTTAACAAGTGTTTTGATCAGAGTATCAAACACAGAAAACTGTTTTTGATTTGTTTTATAAAATAACAAACGCGCGAAAAGATCGAAAAAAAGCAAAGTCTAAGTAAATTCTCCCTACGTGCCGTCTAATTCAAACTGACCAATGAGCGCGCGCGATAGATTAAAAATGACGATAGCGTGTTTTGATACTCTCATCAAACATGGTTTTCGACCAATCCTAGCGCGCGTAGTATACCAATTATTGTATAAAATGCATTCAAGCCTTTTTTATAGTACACATCGTACAATTTACCGTCGCGACAAAATAGGGTTTTGGTGAACGTCAATCAAAGAGTTTCCATGTTATTGTCGGAAAGCATAAAAAGCAAAAAGGTTCTCAAGGGCACCTGCCAATGGAACGTCATCTAACCTTCAAACAAATAAGTACATGATTCTTACTTTGTCTTTCGCGCATGGTGTACCATCAGCCCAGGGCATGTGATGGGTTTGGCAACCTAGTTGTCTTCCAATCTTCTTGACACACCACAAACGTCTACACGGTTCCTATTACGATAACAAAAATTAACAAAAAAATCGATTCGTCTTTTAATCAAATATTTGAATTCAAAGCGTTTCTCCTAGGGTGTCAATTCCAGGTTATAAAATATCCTTTGAATGAGATCTAGCAAGGAAAGTCACAGTACTCACCATTGCCGGGCAAAGACGGGACTGGCTACCAAAGATAAACCGACATTGTTGATCAGCCGAGAACTTCTCTCCTGGGAGTCTGTCCTCGTAGAATGTCTGTCGTCTTGGATCGGGTCGGTCCTCAAGACATCTCCCAAACCCTAATCTTCATAAGAAGATATACATTGTTGAATTCTTATTTTCATAATTTTATTTATTAGTTTATGGCTTGGGCAAATTGGTTCTTCGGCAATTCATGTTTTATATTTGCGCTCATACTTGAAGGAAGCAGTAGATCCTAAATCATTTGTAGACTAACTGATTTCTCGTTTTAATCCTAGTTTTTTGGATTTTGTTTTGATGTACTTTGATATTAAAGTATTATTCAGATTTGTGTGTGTGTGTGTGTGTGTGTGTGTGTGTGTGTGTGAGAATAGGCAATCGTCAGGTAGTACAGTTGTCCGCTGTTTGTTGTTGTTGTTGTTGTTGTTTTTGTTTTTTTGTCTTTTGTTGTTGTTGTTTTTTGGCATTTCAATGAGCCATCAATCTTGCTTAAGAAAAGAATATTTCATAGCAGCCTCGGCTGTAATAAAAAGTTGTATCGATTAACACACCACTGAATCTGATATTGCGATCGTATAAATAAGGCATTACTGATAAAAGCATAACAATCAGGAGAAGTACTTCTGTCTATGAAATCTTAACGTAACACTTACTCCAGGAATTCAGTCAACGCTTTTCTACTGCAATGAGACCACTTCCACGGCTTGGTATCAAAGCTAAGCGATGGGGCCATGATGTTGGAAGTACCTTTTAGCTTGGTGCATACATTCAAATCTCCGTCGTGAGACACACTGAAGCTGATGAAAAGAAAATGTGTTATCAATGCATCAATTTAAGAAATTACGAGAGGAAAATTTAAAAAAATATATACCATTGTGGCCCTCCGTCCCTAACTCCAGTTCTGGCTTCAGCTATCGTTCTTTATCTCTCTTCTTTCCTCCTTTCCTCTCCCTCTCCCTCTCTCTCTCTCTCTTCTCCCTCTCCCTCTCCCTCTCCCTCTCCCTCTCCCTCTCCCTTCCTCACCCCTTTCACTTGCCTCCTTCCTCCCTCTCTCACCTCTCTCACCCTTCATGTCTCTGTCTCTTCCTCCCTTCATCCCCTTTCTATCCCTATCACATGCACATGTCATTTAGAACTACCAGATTACTACTTACACGTGAGCGAGTTCGTGAGCAATAGTGAAGGCTGTGTTCAGACCGCTATCTTCTACAATAGAACAGCTACGCGATGTTGAACATATTGTGCTCAATTCCGCAAGTCCTGTATGTAAAGCATTTAGTTAAAATCAAAATTCGTTCTTTACGTTTTGTCTAAAGATCATAAACATGGATCCAAGCAAACCAAGTTGGCACATTCAAAGTGCGAGTTGATTGTTGAATGACAGTGCATATTTGGAGTGCCCTATGGGAATTAATAGATCATAGAATACTTTTTTCCATCCATAAAGTTTATTGAGTATCATACCTAAAGTGTCGCACTTGCCAGCCGCTCTACAAATGTCACGTCTGTTAAAACATAGAATAAAAAAATAAGTCTATAAATAAATGAAAAAGGATGAGGTTTTTTTCAGAACGAGGGGGTTTCGTTTTGGTATTGACATGTCCGAGTAAATAAATTAGGTGCACTCTGTGTTAGTTTATATATTGATCTGTCTCCATATTTTCTCCCCATCTCCCCTATTACCATTCACGCCCTACAGCTCCCTACCTCCACCCCTTTGGGCCTCTACGCAGGCTGTTTTCAGCGAGGTTTTCTCAACAATAGACCTCACCGGCTCGACATAATGTTGTCCCATTTCAGACCACGTGTCATTCCCTTGAGAATAATATTATTTGCTTGAGTTGTATCCATATTCATGTTTCTTCTCTCTTATTCTATGTGCAACCGAGCGCAAACCTTAAACAAAGAAATGATACTCTAGGGAATGACAAGTGGTCTGAAATGGGAAAACATTACGTGAGAGCCGAGGAGATCTATTGTGTACCCTTTGCAACGTCCCCTGTGATTGGTTAGGTTTAGGGGCGGCGAGGTTGGGGAATGGTCAATGCTTTCTATTGTTCTACACATGTGTGTCCTCCAATAGGATCACATCTTAAAATTCGTGAAGGACGACCCATTGTGTTTGTCAAACTGAACTTCCACTCTCAGAAATGTGCCAAATCCAACACACAAGTAATGGTACCCTGTCATGACATATTAATATGTACTAGTTATGGTAAAATAATAGTGTTATATACTTCGTTATAAGAATGGCTGTGTCATAGTGCCCTGGGTCTGAATCACTTGGTTTATTCATCTTCGTTTGCCATTTACAGAAGCTTGTCAGTGAGTTGGTAGCACTTGAAGAAATCTGAAGATCACTCTAAAACAAAAACAATTGTCTCAGAAAAAAACACATTTTATTCAACCAACATGGTAAAATCCGGCACCATTACTAGGGACCTTAAGCAACTGATATCTAGAATGGGAACGTTAGCTACATAGAGGCTGTATTATGAAATAAGATGGTGTTCTTACGAGACGCAATGTTCGGCAAATCACATCGCCAACATCTGGAGAACAAGAAGTAACGCCCGTCTCCTCATTAATAGGTTGTTTTGAAACACCTACCCCAACGCCGGTCCCCGTCCTAAATATTCCGGTGTTTTTAATGTCCCTACCATCAAAGAGAACCAGGTTTTTCTTATTTCTAGATAGATATGAATACTGACATGTTAAAGATTTTCCTCACCAGGTCGGACTCTATCATGTAGATTTTTACAAGCACAATTTTAATTAAATTCCCAATCGATCTGTCTCTGTAGATACGTGCGACCTATGGTTAAAAAATCCAGTAAAATCAAGTTAGAAACCAAACAATCAAACAATCATTATGCAAATGATGTTTAAGGAATACGCCTTCGTTATGATTTTCTCTCCAATTTCTAAAGCATACGCAATGAGAGTTTCCCACGTGCACACGTTTAATTTTGCAAGACTGGTGAAAACGAACGCACCTCCCTGGCTGTAATCATCACAGTACACTGTCCAATGATGTTCATTGGACAAGCCATGGTTTTCTTTACTGTGATTAGTTCAATGGAAGTCGTTAGCTCGTTATCTTGTCACCGTGACCGTGCAGTTTGCCGTGACTTGACTGTGGTGTCGCAGTCGTGACATTGTTGCTATCATCATGACGTACCTTGTGATAGTTGTTCCACAGTAATTAACAAATTGACTATGAGACATGTTTGTCGATAGATTTCAAAAACAACATGACGTCATTAAAGGAAAGTGTGGCGCGTGTTGCACTGTTTTGTTCACTCACGATATATGTTTTTCTCTTTTAAATTTCTTAATGCACAAAGGAATGTTTAGGATACATTTGTCAAGATAACGTAAAGAGGAAAATGCCATACTGTGCAGTAGACGTGATGAAATCATTAACATAGAAATTAGACATCGTATGAAAAGCTAGCCTGCTGTGATGAGGTCGCTAAGGAAGTCACTTTAATTTACGGAATGCCTGTTACATAGCAAGGCTGTTCTAAAAGTAGACAGCTTTTTGAGTTAAGTGGTGTTTAAAACATGGAAATAGTCTGCTTGCTTTCCGAATTTGTTAGTAAGCCATGGATCGTAAGGCTCCGTGGAATATGACAAGTGGAAAAATTTATACGAAATGGAAAGATCGAGGGAAAATACTGTTGTACTCTAAATATGCAAGAACAGATGGCAAATTAAACGTGCTTCAGTTTTATAATGGTGGTAAAAGGATCCTATCAAGATGTCAAATAAGAAGGTTTGACATTTTTCTTAGGGTCGAACCGATTAGTGATTTTAAAGCTTGGAAAAACAGACATGATGAAGTACTAACCATTCCCATAATAGTAATGAGGTAGCTTTGGAGTTCGGCCTTGTTGGGGAAGGCCTCGACCATGGAGCGATCGGCTGTGATCATCGTCTCGACATAAGCTGCTTCAATGTAACGTTTTCGTCTTCTATTGCGAGATATGTGTATGTCATCTCGGCTTAAGTCTATAATGTACTCGCTCGTGTTCCCGGGAAAGTATGTCTCTATGCACACAAGGAAAATGTTAATAGTCAAGTCTATCATTAATTTTGTCTTAATCCATCCTTCGAACAGCTAATCTATCATGCAATCCATCTATTCTGATTTGAAACTACCTATGCATCATTCATCCATCCAGCCCTCCATAACTACATCTCCATCTGAATACTCCATCTTCCATCCGCGCATGCGCCCATCCATCCATCCATTTATCCATCCATTCATAAATCCATTATTTTCTCTCCCTCCCATCTTCTCTTCGTCTTTTCATTCTTTCACGCTTTCTCTGCATGGGTCCATTTTGTCAATCTGCAAGTGTATCGAGCTACAATTGCTTTCATGCATTTCGATGCCAATCAACCTATCTTTCACTATATGATCCACGAAAAAGATTAGCTAACTGATTTGTCCATCAGCTGTTTCATCAGCACACACATAAGTATTCATGCGACGAATAACAATGCTGCACGCATTATAGCATTTTACTTTTTATCTTACAATCTATCAATCTATCAACCAATTAATCATTGAATAAAGGAATTAACTAAGTCAATAACTGTATGGAACATTGACACATTGACAGAAGTTATATGTATAACAGACGAATGGATGAAGTAGAATGGCAATTAAGAATGGATGGATGGATGGATGGATGGATGGATGGATGGATGGATGGATGGATGGATGGATGGATGGATGGATGGATGGATGGATGGATGGATGAATGAATGAATAAATGGATGGATGGACATCTTGGGGAAAAAAGAGGAAGCAAGGAAGGAGGAAGAGAGGAAAGAAATTAAGGCGTAAGGGACAAAAAGTTACCATCGCCATCAATTATTTCAAAGCATCATGAAAATCAAGAAATATAGCTCAAAAACTTAATGACTTTAGTTGACAGTTTTAGCAAGGTAAAGATTTGTGATGATACAAAGGTCATGACGTAATAGCGTTTGAAATGCCTGCACCTACGAAAACTTAACCACGCGAAAATTGGATACGATACATGTGCTGAAACAATATAGACAGACACCGAACGATTCCTTGAATTGATCATTATCACATTTTCACTTCAAAGCGGAAGAAATAAAGTATTGGGGTTCCTCGATGTGGTTGGTTAATGTGGTGTGCAGCACGTTCGCTGCCCTAATAACGTGAATATCTGTTTCGATCGAATCAAACGTACGGTAAAGGTGGGAGAATATCATGAAACATTGTTCATTCCGCTCCTTACGCGTGCTGTTATAGACCACTGAACTGGGACATCTATTTTTTTTATTTCTATGATAAATAAAATGTGCTCTGGTCTTGCATATTTTATTTCAAATTGATATTAATTTGCAGTATTCGCCTTAGGTAGGCTCCATTCTCCTAAGGCTCTAATAGGCTCTAATCTACTCTCAATGGATTAAAGGGAAAATGCAGACTGTAGCTTGTTTTTAGTTCCTTCAAACCCAAAAGCGTGACGATGTTATAAGGTAGTGAAATCTAAGTGTCCCCAAATATTCTTTTTCTACTGACAGTAGAGGATAGTTTGTTGTGATATTTGATATCAACACTTACCTCCAAGATCGTAGGATGTGTTTGTTTTGCGAGCATTCTCCAATCTCCGATATACAACATGGATTTTGCCTCTCGAACTAGAATTCCCCCTTTCCACCTCTTCCGTATGATCAATGAAATATTCTATCCCTTCTGTAGTAAACGAACCACGCTGGAAGTACAAAGGAAAAGGCTTAATACACTTCAAAGGGTGTTTGTCTCACGGCGCAGCCCTTCCTATTGAGAAACTAAGTCCTTTACATATCAAATAAACATTTTTGAAATACTGGATTGGGAATCCCAGCAGTCAGGCTCCAGTAGAACTAACATTATGAGATTAATTGGATTAAGACAAGTAAGTCATTTGTCAAATAATTCCAAATTATTATTTAATGGACGATTTCTATACATCGACAAATGAACTTCAAAAGTGAACCAAATTTCATTCATCACAAAAAAATCAAGGACCCTTTTTTAGAGTTTTTTAGCAGGCACAACTGCTTGAGTATTGACATGCAATCATAGAATTCTTTCGAATTGACTACCAGGGGGTCAATAATTGGTAATTTTTTATTTCCGGCAAGCGGTTTTCTTTTGAATAGCTAAACCTTTGTTTTTTATTACTATAGGAAAACACAGTTTAACTGATAAGAGCTTGGCGAGTCTTTACTTGAAAGAAGAGTTTCTCGTTGCCAATTGTTGTAAGCAGTTCTATTTTAAGATATTTAGTAGTTTGGTAAGCAGTTTGGGGTGGTCGTATAACGTGACATGCCGTAAAATTCGCCGGCTATTAGGAAAGTGCCGCGAGTAAATCACCCAATGATTTTGTCACTAAACAATAAATAGACAAGTAAAACTTACTAACATCATCCCAGCACTTATAAACAAAAATCAAAGAATTTAAACATGTCTAAGGGTCCTGATAACAAAAGGTTGGGCAATTTATTGGATAGTGTGGATTTAGTGTTATTTTAGTTGTCTTATCATAAGGTGCACACTCACCAGACCCTTGCATAAGTTGAACAACACAGTTGAAAGACTATCTTCTTCTAACTGCCCATGGTAGAAGCAATGTCCTAACTCTCCACGATAAGGAATTGAAACAGAGTCATTAAAAACGTGTTCAACTTCGAGCCCCGGAGACACAAAGCTCCGATCTCGAACCAACTTGAACTTGAAAGTTCTTTCAAAGGCTGTGACATGATAATACAATAGTTCACTGTCCGGAACTCTGTTGTTGTATGATAAAAATTGCTTGCTCAGAGAATAGACCGACTGGCCGGTCTCGTTGACTCGAATAGGAACTGTTTCTCTGTATTCACTCTCAACATTATTCCAACTAAATTTGCGATCTGTAAAGTATAAAGATTTGATTAATTGATTTACCTTAGGGAAATCTCCTCGATGGCAAGAGATCAAAATGTTGAAATGTCTTCTTACCTCTATTGTGATGTCTTCTGCATAATACTCTATATTGGCTTGTGATGAGAATTGTTAGTAAGGTACACAACAGCTTCATCCTCTGGTCTCTGTACACATAAGGTTTCTATCGGCAGAATGACGGGATCACTAGTGAAGTGTAACGACACTTGGGTCACCAGGGGAACGCCTACTGCGCTTGGTCCTGCTGTCAATCACTAAAGGGCACCTTGTCTTGACACCGTGCACCTAAACACATCGGCAAGATTCACCGCTTTTGGACAAAAACCTCATATCTGAAAAAAGGAAATGTCGGTAAATGCCATTAAAAATCCTTCCACGTTTAGATGAGACTGTCCAGAAACAGTGGTGTGAGTCAGATTTAACCTGTACACGCAGACTACATCAATAGGGGATTTGCAGCACGGTGGCGGTATGGTATGTAACCAATGGATGATAAAAAGAGTTAAAGTAGACTAAAACATGAGCGTGTGTGCTCGGCGTATCTCTAGTGAATTCATATCACAAACACGATAAAATGTCCGAACGGTAATTTGGTTTACGATTTCAAGTAACCCGCGGAAAAATCAGCTTCGTTGCCGATAAAGCTTTTGATTGGATTTTGTGAAGGTAAACAAGACAAATGAGACGGCCCTCATGCCTTCGAGATAGGAGATAAGCATATACGATAAGGCAAGCAAACTGCTTGGGTCTGTTAGGGATTACAGTCATGATGATTATCAGTACTCGTTCAAAACATCACCCTTAATAACTAGAGTTGTGATATAAACGTCAAAAAGTTTTATTTTACAGATCCATAGGTAAAATAATTCTTGCTCAGTTGTCATGCAAGGCACAAATCGTGCTCTGATAAGGATAAGCTCCAACACCAAATGAATTTAACTGAGCTGTTTTGATCAGTAAAAACAAAAATGGAGTTTGCAAAGACTAAAATAATGTCCATTCTGAATGTACCAAACTTTCTTTTCCGTCATAGGCGGCTAAAAAATCCTAGATATATATCCTAAAACCACAGAAGGTTTAATCCCGTTTTAGCTCTTGGTTTCCAAGGTATTTGATTGTCGGCTGACGCATGTAGAAACACTTGACTTATTGTCAGAAGAATAAGGATCCTTAAACGTTATATTTTGACAGCATTTGTACAAAATACTCATCGTGGTTTTTAAGGGAAGTGCGCAAAACCGGTCCAGCCAATAAGATCACAATGTCGAGAGACTTGGCAAATAAAATTATTTCGGCATGTGCACTTGATGACGTGAGCGAAGACATTGTAACATTACGGAAAGGATTGCTCGGATGGCGTGGTTGGTGCAATAGAATTTTTTAAAATAAATTGATAATTAGATTCCTTGAAGTGTTTGTTCATTGTTGTTTATTATATTTTCAATAACTGTTATCGCATTTTTAAGGAAGGGCTTGTGGCTTATCATAATCATCCGGTACTCCTCATCGTTCAGTTTTTTCAAGCAGTCATGAAATGACGGAGAAAGAAGCACTGTGCCGTCTTACAAAGATTGACATTAGTGGGCCTTTCCTAAGGGGATTTCCAGGTTATGATCAGTGTTGTCAGATAGCTTAAAATACCTAAGACAAACTAGTGTTGTCTCATTATGAAGTAAATCCTGTCATGAAATCATAATCAGTCATAAAACTATATCATTTTTAAAAAATTATATCTATTCCATGTTCGTGTACACGGACACAATGAGGTAACCGTTCTCCATGTGTTCGTGATAGTTTTGGATAGATGTAAATGATATGAGACACAAGATAACTTGAATAAATAAAGTTAGAAAGGAACACTAAACGAACTTGGTTTACAGTTACCATTGCAAAATCTTTCAGCACTTCCTAGTAGAGAACAAAGGTCAACTTCTAAGCGCTCATTTACCTTCTAGCTTCTACGTTTAGTGGATTCGTAAACTTGAAATCTAACTTTCGCAAAGTCTTAGCAACCAGCTTTCGCTTATCCTTTAAATCAAAATACGATGTATAACGGTGTTGGTTAAGCGGTCTAGGTAAAGGAATGGAACAAAATAACTCAAAGGACTAGAAAAAAAGGACATTTTTAAAAATCCAGCTTCCTAACACTCCTTGTCACTTGTGGAGCTCTCGGAGAGGAAGTACGTTTGAGGAGTTCTTGAACGGACTTTTAGTTGGAGTGTAGCCTACAAAGCGGGAGGTCTATCGTTCACTCTCAGTGACCTCACGCACTTGTTTTGACTTCTACCCGCTTGGAGTTGCTGACGCTTAAATCTCAGCAGATACGACAAGGGAGCGGACGCGTTGGCATTCCCGGCAAAGTATGCTTAAACTGAAAAAACTACAAGGAAACACGTTAAAATCAAGATACCCTGGCGTAGCTTTCGTACAGGACTCATCTCTCTGTCATTCCGTCTTCTATCAGATTTTCTAGTTGCATAATGAAATTACTAGAGATATCTATTACTGCCGGTGATATCTCGAGAAGGGAGCACTCTAACACTGATAAGGCTAAAACGATCCTTCTTGTTATCATGGCTTTGTGGTCGTCGTATTTTGATATCATTTTCAGCACAGCATATTAAAGTAAAGTATGCCAGAAATCAAACTATTAGAAATAATCGTATACCCTTGGACTTTTTGGATGTGTGTGTGTGTTTTTTTTTTAAGTTCAGGTCGGTTCGTAAGTTATGTGCGTGACAAGCCTACGGTGACGTACACGCACGCGCCAAACTTGAAGGTCTGATTCAGTTCTGTCGTCTGTCTGCGTAACCCATTCATGATAGCATGGATAGAGATTAACAGTGGTGTTTCTTATGGATGATAAGGTAACATTGTCCTATTCATTATAATATCTTTCATGGTAAATTAAGCATTTGCTCCCTCGATAACACTAGTTTATCCATGGGAGGAGTAGTGAGCTATGCTTTTCTGATGCGCTTCAAAATTTTAGAAAATGTGACCGAATAATTTTCTAATTTCAACTTTTAAATAATCATACAAATAGGGTATTTTATGTGATCTTGTATAAGATTGGACTGAGTATGCTGATATCAGCAAATGCATATGTTTATGATCAACGTTCATTATCGATCTTCGTCTACTGAGCTGAACCACATGTTCTTTATTGTCAAGTGTCCCTTGCGTGTGGCCTCTCAAAACTAAAATGTTCCCAAATAAAACCAATAGAAAATACTAATCTAGAAAAAGAAACAAGGAGAATTTCGCGTGTGACTAAGTTTCTGTACCACAAAGCTACCAAGAACATTCTAGAATCTCGATCAGTAATTTTAAAAGGTCTAATCTTACTGAACAAATTTTGAAAAGATACAATTAACAAGTGCTTGCAAAGATAAAGATAACACTAGTGCTTACTTACTCGTTTTTGTACGACAAAGCTAAAAAAAAAAACTTTTCCAAAGAAGAAGAATGCTCTCTCGGTCCTACTAATCTCAGCAATGGAAGTCCAAACTTCATAGACTTACTAAAAAAACTCGATGCTTTAAAGGATACAATTCACAACTGACACTTGAGAAGTTTGCACCATACAAAGTTACGGCGTATTTGCATCTACTACTAGCTGAATCAATTCTGTGTTTACTAGGAAAAAAGATTTCAAATCTTTCAGCCTGGAAGGAAATTGTCCAATGACATCACGCGTACTATCCGAGGTCGTATGTTCTAAAAATACCAATGAACGAACCATCAAGTTATAAAAAGCCCGCGGAAACCTCACCTTAGAATGAAAATGAAGCCCCTTTCGAAGTCTTCCTAAACTAGAATCTTCTTACTTCGATATCATAGGCATGTATGACTCAATGACTGGGAATATACGTTCAGAACTGATCAGTCAATAAAAAGATGCCGATATGATATGTTTTTCTTTGTTTTCCGGCTCTTCACAATAACACCTGTTTAAATATCATATAAAAAGCTGATCGGTATGCATGGTCTGTTACACCTCCAATCTATCTTATCTTTTTAATGGATTTCGTACAAAAGAGTGATATTGTCTTTCCTTATCGCATCTTACGATTTTTATTACCTATCGGGGTGTCTAAACTATACTAAGACCACTAGCTATACATTTGACCGCCTTGGATGTCTATATTGTGCTTGAAAAACCGGATGCAAAACAATTAAACCCGGATTATAGTGATTATAATTACCGTGAAGCATATACACCTACTTGTAAGAACGTTGTCATACGAAAATAGAACATTAGTGATTTTGTGGGATAGGAATTATATTAAAAAACAAAAGAAGATCACTGAAGCTGAACTTTTTCTCTTGTATTCCTTTCTCACTAAATTACTAATGTTCTAATATCGTATGACAACGTTCTTGCAAGTAGGCATTTTTTTTTTAGATAAATCATAAGGATGAACGAAAACAAAAGAGAAGTAGTAGTAGTAGTAGACACGAATTTCATTGTTTTCTTTTCTTTTACTTTGGCTTCTAGTCACTAATCATACGACTTTGTTTTACGGGCCAAGTCAAATCAATCCAGTATTATTGATCAGCAGCAGTAACTATTGCTGTCTGCGCGTGCCCATAGTTTGTTTATCTGAATATGTCATCGTAATGGTGGCCCTATTAATACTCCATTTACTTTTTAAAAAATTTCAGAAAAGAAAGTTCAAGCAGCCCTCAAATGCTACTATTTCTTTATCGTTTTATTCAACGCATATTTCAAATTCTTTCATTGGATTCATTTCAAAAAGAATTCAATGCTTGCCGGCATTTCTCTCAACTAGCCTTTGCCCATGCGCAAATGCTGTTCTTTGACGTCATAGTGCTCTAAAAATGAGTATAAATAAAAGTAGGTACTTCGATATCTTAAGTGTATCCCTCATCTAAAGTAGGGCGAGAGTTCACCGACGGATATGGTGGTAGGTGCTTTTTTTACATTTTTAGACGAGGCACAGAAGCGAAAAAAAAGCCGCCGATGTCACAATAATCACACACAAACAAGACCGCACTTCCTGATCAACTCCATTTAATAACATGGTTTATTGTTATTGCTGTCGTATTGGTGAGAGAAGGTAGTCCGCGGACCGCTAACGTCTGGTACGAAACTAATGACGTTTTGAATAATACTAATTCAGATTTTATCGAGACCCTGAAAAACTCCAGGTCTCACAAAAAC